AGTGTGTGTGGGGTGGGAAGAGAAGTGTGGGAGTGCACATGCGTGTGGGCCCCGTGACAGCCTTGTTCCTGTAGACCCGGCTGGGCATCTGAGCCACTTGTTTTTTCCTCACCCTGCTGCCCTGTTCCTTCCCCTCCCTGTCCCCACCTCCCCGGAGTCCGCAAGGCCACTGCCTGGAATCCCGGAGAGGGTGGGGGAGCAGGGCCTGTTCCCTGCAGTCCACAGCCTTCCCCAGGTTTCCATTTGTCTCTGGTGCCTCCCCCTCCTGCCTGGGCCCCCCTCACCTCTGCTCTCCACAGCCCCCCAGCCTCTCTGCACCATTGCTGTCACAGAGTCAATTCCCCGGAATAATCTCATTTTCCGGTCGGCTCCCTTCTCCTTGCCAAGCATGATGCTGGGAAATCCCAACCAGCCAGGCCCCAAGAGGCTTCTCCAGAGAGACAGGGGACTGGGGGAGGGCCCAGCACCTTCTCCTTGCGTGGGCCCAGACAACACTGTTCCTGGAAGGGGCGAGGGCTGGGTAGGAGACGACACAAACGGAGGCTTTAGGGACGTCTCGAGGGTTAGCTAGAGCTGGATTCGGGCCTCTGCTGGCCATACCAGTCCAGTCCCCCAAGCTCTGCTCTCACACCAAGCACCCCAGCCATCCTTACCCAGTTCCTAGAGGTAGCACAGTTCTTCCCAGAGGGAGGCTCAGAGAAAAGGCTCCCAGGGAAGGATTGGCTCATGATGTGGCCTACAGTGGCACTAGCCCAAATCTGGGGACTCCCACAGAAGGGGTTCGATAAAAAGGAGGGCCTGAAGCAAAGACTGTCATTGGAAGTTGGACAGTTGGAAGTTGCTTGAGTCCTGGATCTGCCACTTGGTGTCTATCATGTAATGTCTCCGAGCTTTGTCTGTATAGCAGGAACACCTCCATGGAAGGCTTTGGGGATGAAATGCAGGGGTAATGCCGCGTGCACACTGACTTTTAGTATAAATTACAGGACTCCATAAAGATGGACATAGCACAGCCATTTTAAAAATATGCTGTCAGAAACATGGCCATTGGCATGAAAAGGTGTTCAGGACATACGTAGTAAGTGGAAAAGCTAGTTTTGAAAAGGAAATCTGTATGGCAGGGTCCTTCGCCTGGAGTCCATGCCCATAGATGGTTTTATGTGATTCACAGATGCCCTAAAATTATCCAAAGAATTTAGGGAGAATGTGCATTTTTCAGAGGAGGGAAATAAGTCAAAGTTATCACATTTTCAAAGGGATTTGTTACCCACACGTGGTTAAAAACTACGGCATTTATATAGCATGATTCAATTTTTGTATTTAAAAAATGGTAGCAAAAATTATGTTGAAAAGACTGCAAGGTCATACATCCAAATATTAATAGTATTTTTTTTCTGGATGATGGGCTGGTGGGCGATTATTTTTTCTGTATGACTTGTATGGTTAAAAAGAGGCAGGTTTTGATTTCCTATTAAGTCACTTTCGAAAAGGATAGCTTGGGTAAACTTGCTCAGTTTTTCTCAGCTGAAATGCCCGTCAGTGGCAACAATAACTTCAAAAGGTACTTGTTAGGATAAGATGAGAAGATTTATGCAAAGAGGAGTTCCGGGGATGTCAGCAGTGCATTCAGCACATTCATTTACTACTTGTATATGTGCTGGGGCTGTCCTAGTTGCTGAGGATAAAGAGATGGTCTCAGGAGTTAAAATTTAAAAAATATCTTTTATAAGTGCATCCTTTAGAAGCAATCATGTTTTCTTTTTGTTAATCCTCACCTGAGGATATTTTTTTAATTGATTTTTTTTTTTTTGAGAGAGAGAGAGAGGAAGGGAGAGGGACAGATAGAAACATCATCCATCAGCTGCCTCCTGCACGCCCCCTACTGGGGAATTGAGCCTGAAACTGGGCATGTGCCCTGACTGGGAATGGAACCCAGTGATGGAACTTGGCGACCTCTGGGTTCATGGGTCTATGCTCAACCACTGAGCTGGGCACCTGAGGATATTTTTCCCTTTGCTTTTCAGAGAGAGTGGAAGGGAGGGGAGGGGGTGAGAAAGAGAAACCAATGTGAGAGAGACACATCCACTGGTTGCCTCCCTTCATGTGCTCTGACGGAGGGCGGGGAGTGAACCGGAAATCCAGACACATGCCCTTGACTGGGAATCAAACCATGACTCTTTGGTCCTCGGGCTGACTCTCTAACCACTGAACCACAGCAATCATGTTTTTAATTTTGTTACCAGGACCCCGATATTTCAGTCTGTCTGCACACATTGGCCCAAAAGGAAGGCAGGAACAGGAATTTGCAGTATAGAAAGAAAAAGTGTAATAGTGAATAGGCCAATCCTCTAAAGATCCAACTCCCCAAATGGCATCTAAGTTACAGATTACATAGGGAAAAATCACAAGGTACCTGGGGTTAGGAGGTTCCAGATTGTGCTGGAAGCTGATTGGTTGGAAGTTAGGTAAGTGTAATAAATGATTTCTTCAGGTCTTGAAGATAGCTCTGAGGTCTGCTCTGGCATACCTCTGTCTGGTGTCATTGAAAAGTAGCCAGGGGCTCAGGAGCTGAAACATAACTTAGGTCAAGATATTATCTTTAACCTGCCAGAAGTCCACATCTTGTGACTATTAGTTAGGTTCCTGCTATTGTCTTCTGCTGCCTCAGGGCTTGGGAGGAGAGGCTAGGTCTAGGACCTAATCGCTAGATCTATGAGGGGTGTAGAGAGAGAGATGATTTCTAGAGCTAGGATTCAAACCTAAATTTAACCAAAGTCATAAGGACCCTCGGTTTCAATGTTGGTATCTTTCCTTCCAGATTAATCTTTTGCTTAAGCAAATAGTTTAGAGGTTCTGTACAACTTTGGTTGCTGAAGTTTATATTTGCTCGTTAGTTTATATCCTAACCATTGTCTATGCCTTTAAAAGTCCGTTGTTGTTTTTTTTAAATCTTACTGTTGAGAGTATTACAGATGTTCCCTCTTTTCCCCCCATTACCCGCTCCACCTGGTTCCCATCCTGCCCCAGGCTTTCACCACCCTATTGTCTGTGTCCATAGGTAATGCCATATATAAGATCTTTGGTTAATTTCTCCCCCTCTTTCCTCTGAGATTCATCAGTCTGTTCCATGTTTCCATGCCCCTGATTCTATATTTATTAACCAGTTAATTTTCATTAGATTTCTTCACTTATTTTGATTTTTAGATTCAATTGTTGATAGATATGCATTTATTGCCTTCTTTTTCTTCTTCCTCGCCCCCCTCTCCCCCCATCCTCAATACCCTTCAACATTTCATGTAATACTGATTTGGTGGTGATGAACTCCTTTAGCTTTTTCTTGTCTGTGAAGCTCTTTATCTGACCTTCAATTCTAAATGATAACTTTGCTGCATAGAATAATCTTGATTTGTAAGTCCTTGCTATTCATCACTTTGAATATTTCTTGCCACTCCCTTCTGACGTCCGAAGTTTATTGAGAAATCAGCTGACGGTCATATGGGCGCTCCCTTGTAGGTAACTGACTATTCTTTATTTCAATTGGTGTATGCTTAATTTCTGACTGGTCCTTTTTCATGTCTTTGAACTTCTCACTAAGATCCTTGAAAGTCTCATTAAGTCCCTTGAAACTCTCATTAAGGTCCTTGAGTAACCATGGTTTTGAACTCTGTATCCAGTAGTTTGCTTGCTTCCATTTCTTTCATTTGTGACATGTTTCTGAATTTGTCTCTGCATTTTGGCTGCTTCCCTGTGTTTGTTTCTATGTATTAGATACAGCTGCTATGTCTCCTGGAATTGGTAGCATGGCCTTGAGTAGTAGGTGTCCTGTAGGGCCCAGTGGCTCAGCCTCCCGTCACCTGAGCTGGGCACTCTAGGTGTGCCCCTTTGTAGGCTGTGTGCACAGTCTTGTAGTTGGCCTTGATTGCTATTGGCATCACTAAGAGGAATTGGCCGTGAGGACCAGCTGCTACTACAGTGGAAGAGCAGCTGTGCAGGAGATATCCTTATGGAGCAGGACTTGCTTCGCGCGTGGGGCTTTGATGCTCAGAGTCTGCCCCTTGAGTGTCACTTGTGGATGTGTAGAGTTGTAACTAATATGTTGTGGTCTAAAGCTGTCTACTGGGTGCATTGGCTCTGGGGCCTCCCAGGAGGTGCAAAGTCAGCCACTGCCTGGGACCACCTGGCAGGAGTTATAGCAAGGTCTGCAGATGGCTGCTACGTAGAAGTGCCCAGATGAGGCCCAGCATGAAGCAAGGCAGGCTGGTGCTAGTGCTGGGTCTTGGGCCTTTCACTGATAGGTTTCAGGCATGCTCATACCAGCTGCTGTTTGAGAGAGTTTAGCAAAATCTGAAGCCCGAGTCAGGACAGGCCATTCATTCATATGGAAAAGCTGCTGCAAACAGCTTGGTGTGGGGCGGGGTCTCAGGGAATCACCAGGGCTGAGCAACAGTGCGAGCCAGGCTGATGGAGACAGATATGGCTGCCAGTCAGCCCTGTAATGCCGGAAGGTCTCAGCACAGGAACAATGACCCCTGTGAGCACCCCATCTGGAAGAAAGCCACCCCTGAATTCCTGCCGGGATACCAGATCCTCCCCGTATGTCCCTGGGTCCTCCAAAGCCGTCTGGTGCCAGCCCTTTAAGAGGAACACTCGAGTCCCCAGCAGCCTCCATGCCACTTAGCCACAATCCCTGCTGGTTTTTTCAGCCCAAATTTAAGGGTTCCCAGCTCTGGAACCCTGGGCTGGGGGGCTGGTGTGGGACTGGGACCCCTTGCTCCTCAAGGGGTGGGGGTGGGGGGGGGCGGCGCTCTGCGGGGGAGATATCCTCAATTTAAAACCCCCCAGCACATATGGGTGTCGGACCGGACCAGCGGGTTCTGTGCCTGTGCCCATCCTTCCAGTCTCAATGTGCTTAAAAGTCCGGTGTTTGGATGCCGTAGACTGGCTGGAGGAAGGGTGCATGTGATGGGGGCTGACCGGGTGTCCCCGCTTCCTTGCCACAGACAGCGAGCTGGTGCTGCCCGACTGCCTGCGGCCCCGCTCCTTCACCGCCCTGCGGAG